AGATCTTTATCAGAAAGTTGGTTTAATATTAAGGGTCTTTATGTGCTTGTTGCTTTCAATAGTGTAATTGATCTAAAATTGTTTTGTTTTCACCAGGTGTAGAGGTTAGAGTTAAATTGTCTATGGAGTTGAAAAGTAATCAAAGATTTGGAACATATAAAATGATAGCACCAAAGACCAGCTTTTATTTCCATTTTACATGATGTAATTAAAATCAAAATTGAGTAAGTTACAAACATATGAATTATAAGATATATTTGTCATTTTTTTTGCACACCACTGTACTATATTCATTTATATCCCGCTTCAGATACATTCCCCAAAAGTCTACACCCCAAATGAGAATTCTAATACGGGCCAGGTTGTTATTCCGTAATGGACCAATTCTTGACTTGAGCCAGAACATGCTCTCTTAAATAACTAATCTCGCTTCAAAAAAAATTTTTTTTTTACAAATTTATTTGTATTGAAATACTACTACGCAGAACCAACGAAATTACATATTAATATATAGAAATTAACAATAATGAAGCAAATAAAATTCTAATAAAAATACTACCCTGATATCATTTTACAGAAAGAAAAGGTTAAAGAATTATGCAACATGTTTTTTGGTTCGATTCTGGACGAATTTGACGCTAATATCCACGATTGATAGTCTAATTCATATCTTTCTAAAGTCTTTCTCTGTCTTCTTTTGAAAATTCTTTTTCTATTCTATTACTTGCATTACAAATTAATAATGCGTAAGTTTATCGTCGTTACTAATCTGCAAAACAATATTATCTTTCTCACCTCAATGTCCACCTCAATGCTCTGTAATCTTTTTGTAGATGGAGCATTGGTAAAATAGACATTTAACTCATCAGGGGTGGCTTATTATCAATTATCTTCTTACGGTTATGCAAATGACAACATAATACTGCCGATGCTTGAAATACCACGACCGAAATTATTTTGTCATTATGCGCATAACAAATTAGGAGGTCGTCTATATGTTCGTTTCGTTTTTTGATAGATCGGCAAGTACTCGATATATCCGCAGTAAAGTCACGTTTTCACTGATACCCTGATTTTTCGAATAAATCATCGCATAGCAGTCGGATAATCAGCGATATATTATATATTAATATGTTAGAATAGATATAAGCATAAGCTATTTATTAAATTATTTATTTGTTACTTTATATATAGATATAAATTGCTTTCTTTATATACAATTAAGGATCTATTAGCTAGTAACAAACAACACCGTTAGCGGTCCCCGTAGGTAGAGACTGCAAATAACGACAACCTGTGATAAATATGTAACTAGATACTCAAGAGTTGTGTGGTTGATAGAAAAAGTAATACAGTAATAACGGTAATTAACAACTTTCAATTTCTATATAAATAATTATTTTCGAATTAAAGTTTTTTGTCGCTTTTACTATAAATTAACAAATCAACGCAAAATATTACATTACCAATAAACAAAATGTCTTTGAATGAAATTTGGAATGCATCTAGCAATGTACATCCTGTGGATGGGGCTGACCGGTATAAAAAGGTTTCATGGCGGTTAAAACAAACCATTGAAGTTGTAGTAACATCTAGCTCTAGCTGTAGGTTAAGCAACGCTGGTGTATCAAACCAGACAAAGAAGATTATCGATGCAATAAAAAAATTTCAAACCTCGATAGCTTGATACAGTGAATTTCGCGCTATAGTGAAGAATTCCTCTGATCCAAAAACAGCATTAGTATAAACTTTACTATATTGAAAGATTTCGATATAGAAAAATGCCCGTCCCGCTGACTTCACTATATCGAGGTTTGACTGTAATAGTTTAGCACAACACTTGAGTTTATATCTTGGCGCCTTCCACGCGGGGGCTTTGTAAGCAAGGCCACTAAATTTGATCTCCCAAGGTGATACAACGCGTGAAATCATTATTTTGTGTTGTCGATAAAATTAATAATTCAGATCAAGCAGATGGTGTTATCAATCCAAACTTATGCTGTTAGTAACCGTCTTTTTTTTTTTTCCCCTAGCACAAATGTATGGATCGTGTTAATATTTGTGACGACGTATCACTCAAGAACATGTATATATGGAGACTGATATGTTTTCCGATAAGTATAATAATTTAATAATATATGAGCGCAATTGAGCCTTCGAATGATTGTGTACATGCAGTGAATATACCCAAACATCAATGAATATATACGATATCTACATTAATTAATAACATTAATTACAATTAATACTTAATAATGATTCGTATCCTTCAACTTCATCTTTACATAATATCCTCCTCGTTAAAACATTGTATACTCCAATACTGGCGCACCCATCTCTTTGACTTCTGGAATGGTACATTTCAGATTAAATGCCTTACTCAGTACAATTTTAAATATCTTTTGAATATTAATTGAACACGAAGTGCTCGAGAAAATTAATGGTGCTTTCATCGCCCGCGCAAATCTCCTGGCCTGTTTTGTAATCTCCTCTTGCTTTTCTTTGGGAAAACCCGCAAAGGTGTCGTACTTGGTTCCGATAAGGAAAGGAATAGCTGATTTATTGAATCCGCGGGCCTGACGGTACCATCCTCTGACAGAGTTGAGAGTGGCTTCACGGGATAGATCAAACATGAAGAGAATTGCTACTGCTTCGTTACAGACTAGTGGAAGCATGTTTACGAATTCTTTTTGACCTGTTTGCAAAACAAAGCGGGAAAATTAAGATTAATGTGTCTACGAATTCAATCATTGACTGACAATTGCTTCTGGTAACGTACCACCAAGGTCCCATATGCTGAAGGTGATGTCAGTATTTCTGATACAGACAGTCTTCTCCATAAAGTTAACACCTGTAACAGATTAACAAATTTGTTATTTCTTCGTGCATTCATACTAATCAATGCTGGTTTGCCTTATATACTTACCCAAGGTCTGAATATAATCTTCGTCAAAATGACCCTCAACATACTTTACCATCAGACTAGTTTTACCGATCTGTGAGTCACCCACCATTCCTACTTTTACGACATAACTTTTACACAGGACGAGTCAGTCGATCATGCTCGTAATTACTAAAACGATCTTATCCTCGAATTTCGCTCTCACTCTTACTTACTTGTCTCTCCTACCCGTTGCTTCTTCCTTCTTGGTCATACTGGTGTATTTGTATACTCCAATACTTCCAACAGACGTCAGAAGTACTTGTAGAAGAGCTATTCTTTAAAGATAGAGAATGGGGAAAAAAGTGTGTCAATGACTGTTACGAGAGAGAATGAATATTATGCCAGTAGAAAGTATATTCGCGAGCTTATGTACTCTGTGAATGACGGATATTTCAGCTTAACGATACATGTATGCTATCGAAACGACCTTCACATTAAGCAATGGCAAGAAAATAACTCACAAGTTTTCGGCGTCCCCTCTAAGCAAAAGGTTTTGGAAACGGTAATGCTATTCAGTGAATTGCAACTATATTTAAGGGGTGCGGTGGGGGGGTGAATTCGTGACAAAGGGGTTGTTGCTATGTCGTTGGAAGTATACGAATAGAATTTGGTACAGACGATTACGATTAAATTAAACGCATTTCGGAATACACTAACAGATTCGGTGTTCGTATTTATATTCCAAGATTTCTTCTGTTTGTGTTTGGAATTGTGTAATCAAGGGGGTTAGGGTCGGGAATTTTGAACTAGCCGAAAACAGGACTATTAAAACGTTGACCATATTAATATTAATATAGAACATATTCCAAGACCTATAATTAATAAATAACCAAGTCGTATCGTTCATTGTATGTGGATATAAAAGTAAACGTGGCTTTGGCATTGGAAATACGCCCTTTTTCCTCCAGCATTCGGCATACCATTCATTCGTCGCTGCTATTACCAAGATGAGTAGCATTATTAATAAGGAAGATATTTTTAGTTTGTCACACGTGATAAACTTCTTCCATAGACTATAATTACGAGCCCAGGCTTTGAAAATCGTATGATCCGATCACTTGAGCAATGCCAATATCAATTACAATATACATACTAATACGAATATTTGTAATCACATTGAAGGATAACGTATGCATTTTTGGCTCGTCATATACATTGAATGAAGTGGAAATAAAATCAACCTTATGCCGTAAATCCAATTTAGAAAAGCCATTAAGGAATAGCGCATCGTATTGGAAAGAGGACTAACTAGTCTTAATCATGCTTACGTCACTTGAATGCAGAGCGGAAAATAATTTAATGTTTGACAAGTCCTATTGATCTGATTGGCCAACTATTGATTTCCATCTCTCTTTTTTTTTTTCTGATTACAAACAACTTTCTATTTACCGTTAGCGAAGAGCACCTTGCTATACACGAATAATGTAATGATTTATTCCCCCTTATCCGTATACTCTTAATTCTTCACTTTTCAAACTTGGGAACACATCAAAGAATCGCTATCAGAGCAAAACACACGGAGTGGCAAGACTAAGAGATGTCAAATATTGTGTTCGTTCACCTTATTTCCATCTCGCGTCTTTTCCCTCACTTTATGCTTTGGGGAAAGTCCCCGGACTCTCCGACAGAAAGTGTCACCCATAAAGTCGGTCTTACCTCTTCTTCCACCCTGCTTAAATCAAAGACATGTGAGATTATAGTGGAGTCGGACTAGAAGAGGCGTTGGTCATTTTGAATAGTGATGCGATTGCGGTTCCTGTGCTTCGTTAGAGGCACAGAAGGCGTAACTCAATGGGGCTTACTCTTGAGGTGTTCCCAATTTATATTTATTCTATTATTTTTCAAAATTGTAATCGAGGTAAGTTATAAAGAACATTGTTCGATTTTCGAGAGGTAATACAACATAATATCAAGGCTCCGTCAGCAGGTAAATATTCATTAATGACCATTGTTATTCGCTTCCTTGGCTATATCATTCATAACACCGTTTTCCGATATCCCGTTCGATCTGCTCATTCTGCCCGTTCTTTTTAATCATCTCATGGCTACTGTTCTTTTATCGTCTCCGTGTTAGCGCTGCCAGTTGTTTCCTGCCTCGGCTCTGTGGGAAGAACTGCGGATCAAAATACCGGGGTGCAGCTTCTATTAACCTGTGATTTTAATGTGATATGTTATGTGATATTTCTACATGTAATATATTGACTACAACACTTGATATTATTAAAATACATCGTATACCATGATAGTTCAACTTTTGTTACTGTTCGAATGAAATTCTTGGTTGTAAGTACGAACTCATTGTAGATGACCCATTCATACGGTTCACTCAAGACGCTGGTTGGATGTATGGTAACAGCCTGTTCAGATAAAGAAGCAATAGAATTAAGAGACCTTTGAAGAGCATTCGATCTGATTTGGAAAAGCAGAATAAAACGTTGCCTGCTCCGTATTTATAAACGATAAGATCTTTTATTTCCCTCGACCCCTAACCCTTACAACTGTATCGTCTCTTTTTATCTCACCTGATTGTCTTGGCATGTCAACAATATTGGTCCTCCTTCTCTATGAGCAGCTTGCATGAAGAAACCTGATATTAAAGCTTTTCTTATGTTAATAGAATACAGTGGATCTTGTATAGAACGTCTATTAAGTTTAAGGCCATTGCGTGTCAATATTTCAGCGAGTTGTGTTCTGATATTCTCGGCAGCTTTCAACGATCGCGAATTGAAGCTGTTCTCTTGGCACCAGTCATCTCGAGATTTCTCTGAATGCAATATGAGATGTCATAAGAAAAATGAGCAGATTGTTGGACTCCACTAGTTTACATGCTTACGTTTTTTATATTCTCTGAAAATGTTCAACATTGTCAGGTGGTCTCCATCGGGATGAACAAACCGCCGTTTCCTGAAGCGGGCATCGACTGATGACGTCTCCTTGGCGAATATTATTGGTGCTATTTCCAAGATACAAAACAATTGTCAACATTACCAATGCTGCCAACTCGGCTTAAAACAACCCTAACACTCGAACCATCTTTCTCCGCGCTTACCGCTCAATAAGGCAGCGATAATAATAATATCATCTGAACACCCGAGCCTGTCAGATTCAATAATCATTTTACTCAGCTCGGGTGATAGTGGAAATTGAGACATTAACTGACCGATATGCGTGAGATTTATATCATCATCAAGTGCACCGAGATAGTTTAATGATTCTAACGCTCGCATAAGGGTCTCCGGAGCTGAATTGAGTAATAAAGCGAAAGGAAGAAACCAGCTGTGAGTAATGATGAGAAGACATGAATTATTGAAGACAGAGTTTATAGAGTAATTGTAATCCAACTCATAACGAATTAATATTACGCCAGTAATGCGATCCTGAGTATACCACAATTTTACCTGGAGGATCCATAAAATCAAATCTAATCAGATCGTCAAATCCAATAGCTTTCAGTTGCAATATGACTGAACCAATATTACTACGCAAAATCTCAGGACATGATTGTTCTTCGAGCTGTTCGTGTGCCTCTTCAGTATACAAACGATAGCATTTACCTGAAGCAGGAAGAATCAAACTAGCGTTAATCGAGTTGGCATTTACTGATGATATTGTTTACAAGTCAATATATTAAACTAAGCCTTTTTTTTTCCCCACAAGACAACAATATTAGCTTAATTTATCCGATTGGCCTATGCTACTCTCTGAATAATGATGGCGAAAACCTACCGGGCCGTGTTCTTCCAGCTCTTCCGGCCCGCTGCTTAGCCGACGCTTTACTAATTGGACCGACCAACAATGACTCCACCCTAATCCTCGGATGATACACTTTCTGTTTTGCGAATCCCGTATCAACCACATAGACAATTCCATCAATAGTGATGCTTGATTCAGCGATATTTGTAGCTACAATGCACTTTCTTCCCTGTACACCGTTTTTGCCAACTGGAGGATCATCAAAGACCAGCTGCTGCATTTGAGGAGGAAGTATGCTGTACAATGGGAGTACGGCCAAAGGGACTGAGGATGAAGACGAGATTCGTGACCGGATGATGCGACAAGCATCCTCTATTTCTTTTTCTCCCGTGAGAAACACAAGAATATCGCCGGGTGGCTCGTTATTACGAATACTAGTAACGGTCTTGATCGCTTCTTGTACGTAGTCTTTCGTCGGTTCCCGTGCATAGTGCATTTGCACGGGGTATGTTCTGCCGTGTATTTCCTTATTGAATAGAGAAGAGAGATATTATGATTAATGGAAAGGTGAGTAAGAAGTTATCTATGGATGATACATACTATTACTGGTGCATTGTTAAAATATTTTCGAAACTTTTCAGCCTCCAGCGTGGCGCTCATGATAATGACTTTCAGATCACTCCTGACGCTTGCGATCTAAGTTCACAGACAGATATAGACAAGATATTGTCAAGCATCCAATTTATCCATCATGTCTCTAAGCTTCATTATTTTACTTCCTAGACTCGAACCTCTTTAACGATTCCCATCAAAATATCGGTAGCCAAAGTTCGCTCATGTGCCTCATCGAGTACAATCGCCTGATATTTCTCCAAGAATGGATCTCCCATTGCCTCCCTTAACAATACTCCATCAGTCATGTACTTTAACATCGTCCGTGGAGTCGTTATATCTTCAAATCGAATGGAATATCCAACTTCCTCTCCAAGTTTGACGTCGAGTTCTTCTGCCACTCGTTGCGCAACTGAAGTTGCAGCCACGCGGCGTGGTTGAGTGCAAGCTATGAGTCGTTGAGATAAATGTGGTAGTAGATCATACAGAAGATATTGGGGGATCCTGAGAGATAGAATGGAAAAGTTACAGTTTATAGTTAATGAGAGTTTTTTTTTGTATCATTCGAAATTTCCCTTTCCCCATGATTATAGATTGACATTTATGTCTTTGTTTACTAGTAACAACGTTTCCTTCCCTTCCTGACCGACCCATACACCTTCTAGCGGTAACATAAAAAAGTAATAATAAAAGCTGTCTCGCCTCTTATTCTCCTTCATTCTTTGCTTTTTCCCCTGTTGCGGACTCCCTCCCAAACTCACTGTGTAGTCTTTCCCGTTCCTGTTTCGCCAACAATTACAATAAACTGATTCGAATGTACCATTTGTAGAAAATTTTCTCTTTGCTCAAATACAGGCAATTGACGTCGTCTATTGAGAATATCATAGTATCCTTGAGAAAATGGGTTTGAGGTGAAGGGGTTTATGGGACCATTTTCAACTTCAAAGGCTTGAGAGGACGTTGTAGCACCGGGCGTCAGAGAAGATAACGGTTGACATAGTTGGCTGTTGGAAGTCATGTTGACAAGGTTTGAACTCTGACTAGGTACTGGAGATTGCGACGGTGGGCTGAGACAGAGGAGAGAATAGAGGAAAAACGGGGAAGGTCTACAAAGATTGGCGGTCGTTCTTGAGTAATATTAAGATGGAGAGAGTAAGATTAATAAAGGAGAAGCTCGTTCAACGTGAGTAAAAGTATGTATAAAGAAACAATTATATCGTTTGCCATCATCTTGCGGACTATTATTACCCGTGGCTATTCTCTTTGATGCTGCGGCAGAAAGTTATCAAACAGAGCTTGAGCTCGAGAATTTTCAAGTCATTATGGTACGGTTATGGTGGAAAATGCGGACTATCAAAAATTACGTCATAACCTGATTACGCTTCTCTCTCAATTCATAATAACAATCGCCATGTGGGCTTCTTGATCAATTATTATTATACATGCGCTCTGTGAGTTAGCCACTTTGATATTTAAGAGCCAAACTCAATGGCCAGCACGGAATCAACTTTTAGTGTCAATTGCATGATCTTCTTAGCTTTTAGCCAACTTGGCCAAATGAATTTATCACGTGGTTGACACAATCGAAATCTTTAGCCAGGAGGTTATGATAAAGGACGTGACGGAAGCTAATTGTTTTATTATCATTTTTTGGCCAATTACAATCAGGAGGATAGTGATGAAGGATTCAACCATTGCGCGAGGAAGTGAGCAGCGAGAGGCCAATGTCATGGAATGCGTTTTGTTTGTGTACAGCCCACACGTGTGCAACAAGGTCAAACTTCTTCGTACTACAAGTGAAAAGAAAAAAGACAGAAGGGGTTTTACTAGATAATTTTGCGCCCACCAATTTGGGGTGCTTTCTTGAAAAAGAAAAATTTTTTTTGTCAGGTCATGAGAAAAATTTTTCAAATCTCTCAGGCTATCAAAAATAATTCTCTTCGGACTAAGAAAGGAATATTCTCTTTACGCGGCATTTAGTACCCATAGTCTGCTCCGTACTCTATATATTAATATATGATTTCCGAGGCCAATAATCGCTTGATTGAAATGTGTCATTTTCTTGTCTCTTTAATGACGTTTACAAATCGCTCGTGTTATGTATTGCAAACATTCTCTATCCGTACGGAATGCATGTGATATTGTCCACTTCATTTCAATCGTATGTCTGCTAAAGAACCGATGATCGACAATATGCATTTTAGATGTATACGTAGACTTCACAGTTACCAGAATCCGCGTATTGACAAGAACGTTACAACTCGTTGGTTTTTTGATCGTGGCAGTTGCTATACTCTCTGATCATCCTTACAAGTCAAACCAGGTACAGGGAAAGATGTTACGAATTTAGAACAAGAGTATCACTAAGATCACACAGAATGTGTGTAGTATATATTGCTATTACATCGTGTGCAGATGACGCTGCACCATTAAGGTTAGTTTATTTATATTGAGATTAGAGTGCTGTCTCCCACATCAGAAATTCTCTGTTCATGAGCTGTTCGAGAAGAGTGAGTATTATTGTTTGGCTTGAGTTCTAAGCGACTGAAAATACTCGCTTCGACGCATACCGTAGGTGGTCTTCAGACTTTAATCATTCTGGCTGAAATATCCCCGTTAATCGTAAAAAAAATTCTATCTGGCAATCGAATAGTTTAATCATGTCTAGGCTGCCCAAACCACCATTTGCCAGTGGCATACCGTCATCGGGACTACCGGCTCCCGGAAAGCGTCGTGCACTGAGCAACCCACAACAGAGATCGTCTCCCTTTGGCGATCTCACTCCCGAACAGGAAGCACTTCTCCAAGAAGCTATGGAAAAATACAACCCTGAAGCCGCTACTGTGACGAAGGAAGTCCGCAATACTTCTTCCCCATTGAACTCGTCAGCCCTTTCTATGGGATCCACTAATTTAGCAGGTGCTCAAACAACTGGACCTGCTTCGAGTCAGTTACGAAAACCTGGGCAAAGAAAACAAAGCATGTCGAAACCATCGCGGCCTGCTTTACCTTCATTATCCGAGATGCCTCCATTACCTGTAACCCCGCATTCGTATGCTGCAGCTCCAACATCTATACAAAATTCTCCATCCATGAGACAGCCTCTCAATAAAGCTAATCAATTGCGCGCCCCGGCAACGCAGCCCCAAGCCCGTGCGTTGTCTCCTCCATCGGTTGGCTCGACAAAACTCTCACCCATTCCTCAACGACTGCAAGCGCCTACTGCTGACCAGAGGCCTGCTTCTCCATCGCTTCTGCTATTTTCAGTAGGTGATCGAGTAACCGTTGAGTCAATGAACATTTCAGGTACCCTAAGATTTCTGGGTCCTATAAGTATCAAACCAGGCGTGTGGGCCGGCATAGAGATGGATATTCAAGGAACTGGTAAGAATGATGGAAGCATAAAGGGGTAAGTATCTCAACTGTCAAACGCAAGATCGAATATAAAAAAAGTATGAAATACCGATTCTAACATTTATACGACCAGAAGAGTTGCATCGAGACTTTCGTATATCTTGTTTGTGTCTTGAACGAAGACTTCTAATGACCATTCATTGATCCCTAATCAGGACGTCCTATTTTTCATGTCCACCAAATACTGGTATATTCGTGCTTGCTTCTAAACTTTCTCGTCCAAAGAATGCAAAAGAGGTCCTTGCTCCACCACGAGTATCTCCATCGATAAAACCAACTTTATCTATACCGCGTCCACCATCTGCACAAAGCAATGTTAGCGATAAGAGTCATATTTCTACTTCAGGAACAACAAAAAATGCACAACACGCTGCTATGGCGGCTTCGCGTATAACAGCGGGTTCGCGCGCATCAAAGTATATTGGTGTCACTGCGTCTCAGCTCAAACAAAGATCGATAGCAAAACCGGGAATTCTTGGGCCATCTATGCCTACGCTTGACCCAGCTAATCGCAACTCGCCGCCACCACCGTCAAAAATTAAATCTGGACTCGCTCGGCCAAGTATAGGGAATCTTCGTTCGGTCTCTGGGCCTTCCGGTATTTCACCCCCACGAAGAAGAAGAGATTCAGCATCCTCAACCGGGTCTGTAGTTTCCCAACCGTCAGTACAGTCACCAAAGTTAGCACCGATTGGACAAAGGGTTTCGAGAGCAACAACGCCTAATCAACAACTCTCGGACAATGAGGCGTCTAATAGTGCTCTGATCTCCGAGGAGATGAGTAATCGTTCTTTACAGGAAAAAATTCAGAAATTTCTTGGTGAATCCGAAGCTTCAGACGGACTTCCGCTTAGTTTGTGGGATCAGCAATCTCTGCGCATGAAACAGCTTGAAATGAAAGTTGAGGTGCTTGAAACAGAAAATGCTGCGCTTGCACAGGAGAAGAAACAATTGGCTAAGCAGGTGGAAGAATCAGGCAAGGGTCACCACGCACGACCGAGCACTTCATTGTCAATGTTAGCAGAAGAGGACAACATAAGCGATAAAATTTTGCAATTAACTGAATTGATTGCAGAGAAAGATGACCAGATTAAATCGTTAGAAGAATCTTTGAATGACGCTAACAAGAAATCGCAAGAATATTTTGAGCAAATAAAAGGTCTGCCCGGTTCGAACGTAGGGTCTGCAACACAAGAAGCTACGGAACATATTGCTCGACTGGAGAAAATTGTGGAAATTAAATCGGCAGAGATTTCAGAAATGGCTGTCAAGAATGAACTTGCACTAAAGGAATCCGAGGAAAAAATACATAGCTTGCAAGATAATGTTGATAAACTGAAGGCAGCAGGTCAAGAAACAATTAACATTTACGAACAAAAGGTATCAGCCTTGGAGCAACAAATTGCTGAGCTGAAAAAAGCAGGAGCGGAAACGATATTGTTGTACGAAGAAGCTACAGCAAAGGTTGAAGAACGTGATGCGAAGATCGACGATTTGCAAAAAGAAGCTGAGAAGTTAAGATCAGCTGGTGTCGAGGCAATTGATGTATACGAAAAGATTATCGAAAACTATAAGGCTGAAGAGGTGAAGTCCAAGAGCCAGTTGGTCACAAAAGATGAAACCATGGCACTTTTGCGTAAGGACTCGGAGACATTAAAGACTGTTCAAAGAGAACTTGCCGATGCAAAAGCGCGATTGGAAATTAACGAAAAACAAGAAACTGGTCTGCGGAACGAATTACATGATATGACAGCCGGTTTGGAACAATTAATGAGAGCAGATGCCAAATCTCGTGAGCGTATTTACGAATTGGAGGACGAGGTGCGCGAATCGCAAGCCCTTGTGAAACGACAGCAGGAAGAAATTACCATGTTAAAGGACAATATACAGGATCTGATGGCAGCTAATTCGAATGAGGAAATGGAAAAGGTTAAATCTTTCTTCGAGAATGAAACGAAGCGTCTTGGAGGCGAATTAGACAGTGCAAGGAAATCATTAGCAGATCTTCAAGGAGAGAAGCGAACGGTTACTGGTGAAGTCGACAGCTTGAAGAACGAGAAAGCACTTCTCGAAAAGAAACTCCAGGATGTAGAGAGTCGAAGATCTCTCCTTGTTGAGGAAGTTGATAGAATAAGAAACACGCAGAAGGACGTTGAGAATGAGAAATCCGAGCTGTCAAGAGAACTTGAGGAATTAAAATTGAAAATGGTAGAAGCCGAGAATGTAAAGAGCAGTCTATCGCAGGAATTGGACTCGGCCAAGGTAAAATTGGTTGAGGTAAGAGGCGCTGCCGAAAGAGAAATTTTGGACATGCAGGCGCAGATAGAAGATTTATCATCAAAAGCGCGTACTCTTGAGCAAACTCGATCTGAACTTGATGCTAAAGTTCAAGAGCTCACCCAGCTAAATGAAAGTCACGCTGAATTAAAAGCCGAGAACGAACAGCAAAAAGCAACTCTAGAAACCGTACAACGAGAGAGTTCCGAGGAATTACAATCTTCTCAACAAGAGATCAAGCAATTGCGACAAAAGATTAAGGAACTAGCTATTGCGCAAAAGAACACTTCAGGCTCCGTTCCATCACAAGAACAGGAAGAGAAACTA